AGTTCATGGACTGGTATTGAAATGACCTCAGAAATTATTTTGTCAAACTTCTTCCCATTGTAGGAATTATTTGTGTAGCAAAAATATCATTCTCCATTCGATAACTATTTATTCATTGTGACAGTTATTTTTAATATTCTACCTAGTGTTCAACTACTCTTCCCTTCTTGCTAACAGCACTCTCGTGGAGGTTTTTTTTTTTTTTTTTTTTTTGAGTGGAAGCATTATGTCCACACCCAAGCAATAAATTTTTTTGGTGTAAGTCAATCATGATAATCTCATTCTCATTCTTTCAGCATTCTTGGAAGCCTTCGTATACCTTACTTTTGTCCAAGGAGACCTAGGAAAATGAAGTTTTCCTGCAGAATTCTTAAAGAGGTTTTGATTTTCTGATAAAAAGGGACAGACACACTGCCATGTCCTTTCTCATTCTGGCCTTGACTGTGAATATGACAGTTGCTACCTTGTGACCATGAGGGTAATGGCAAGCAAACCACAGACTTTATTGATCTATTGAACCCACATAAGTTACTCTTCTTATATACCTGTTGGTAGGAATGTAAACTGGTACAGTCACTGTGGAAAACAGCATGGAGGTTCCTCATAAAATTAAAATAGAACTAACATATGATCCAGCAATTCCACATTCCACTCCTTGGTGTTTATCCAAAGAAAATGAAAACATCAATCTGAAAGGATATATTACCTTCAATGTTAATAGCAGCATTATTTATTACAGCCAAGATATGGAAGCAACCTAAGTGTCCAGGGACAGGTGAATGGATAAAGAAGCTCTCTCTCTCTCTCTCTCTCTATCTATCTAATCTATCTATCTATCTGTCTCACAAACACTGTATGTTTTCATTTGTATTAGAATCTAAAAAAACAAAGCAAACAAACAAATATAACAAAACAGATACAGATTCACAGATACAGAGAACAAACTAGTGGTTATCAGAAAGGATGTGGGGTGACGGATGGGTGGAATAGGTGAAAAGGATTAAGAATTACCAACTACCAGTTATAAATCACAGGGATGTAATGTTCAGCATAGGCAATATAGTCAATAACAGTAATAACGTTGTATGGTGTGCATAATCTATAAAAATATCAAATTGCTATATTGGAAACCTGAAACAAATATAATATTATAAGTCAACTATACTTCAATTAAAATTTTAAAAAAAACGATGTCACTAAGGTCAGGTTTTCTGTTTCTTGCAAATACATGTATTATACATGTACTATATTCGAGGCACTGTGTGTGTGACAGCCTTCAGCCATCGGATCCATTCGATCTTCAGTGTCGACCTCAGCTGCCCAGAGCTTCCTAACTTGGGGTCTCACCCTTCCCTGGAAGCCTATATCTTGTGCCTAAGTGAGATGGGGGTGTAGAGACTCAGTCATTTGGGGCCAATGTGGGATGCTCTGACAGGCAATACTTAGTCCAGAGCTCCCCACTGGGTTGACTGACGGTTTGTTGAGCTAGCATTGCATTAATGTCCTTGAAAGGCAGTAGCAAGGAAAAATACTCCTAATGGGTAGAGTTTGGGGCATTGCATCTGGTTATCCATTTTGTGTGAAAAGATAATTGGCCAAGGAAGAGAGAAGGGGTGATATAGGGGTAGAGGACTAAGAAGTACAAACTATGTATAAAATAAGCTACAAGTATATATTGTACACCATGGGGAATATAGCCAGTATTTTATAATAACTATAAATGGAGTAGAACCTTTAAAATTTATGAATCACTATATCGTACACCTGTAACTTACATAATATTGTACATCAACTATACTTCAATAAAAAAATTCACCATGAGAAAAAGATAAGGGTCAAAAAGGGAGGGGCAATAAAGAGATGAATGCGAGAAAGAATGAAGCCGAAGAAAAATGGGGCAAGACAGAGAGAGAGTGCGGACGAGAGAGAGATACGAGTAAAAGAGAAAATAGCTCTCTATGGTAAAAAAAAAAAAAATTACACATTTTAAGGTGCAAATGAAAGATGAAGTAAACACTGGCAGTACACATTAAAAAGTTTCAAAATCCATAACACAGAGAGTTCCAACACATAAATAAAGGAAATAGATTGGGTTGACCTTTCTATTTCTTATGAAAGTAGTAGGTAAGTTGTTTAATTAATGATTTAAAAGAAGACATCAAGGAGAGAGAGGCATTCTGGATGTGCTGTTCACGCTGGCAGAATGGCACATCGAGGGGCCAGGTTTGGGCCTTTGGGTGCCCTGTCTTTCCGGTCAGTCCTTCAAGAAGCAATTCCAATCTTGGTGAGTAACCAGTATCATCAGGTACTGGTTATTAGTCCAGACTCCATTTTATGAACGAAATATGGAGAATATCGCTCTAATGAGGACTCAGGAGTTCTTGTTTGTCATCACATTTTTCCCCAGTGGGGAAGTTCCCAAGGAAAGTGAAGTCAGTATCAGTAGCTTATTGAACAAAGGCAGTAGACCCGCAGCATCTTTTAAAAGCTGTTTTGGGAACCCGTAGAGAACAGTTGAAAGAGCCCAGGTTTGGGGGGATAGAAAGATCAGGATCTGATTCTCAGTTCTAGCAGTAATTAGAGCAATTTTCTTATTCTCTCTGGACCTCAGTGTTTTATCTCATTTCAAAGAGGTAATGATTTTAAAGGATTGTTGTGGGAGATTAAGTGGGAATTCCTGGCACTCTAAATGCAGGCGTCCCCATTTCCAGGACATCAAAGCCTGAGACTGGGTAATCAGAGCTGCTGCTTCTTCCTTGTACTGTGCCACTGACCTTGACCCAATTTCCATCACCATGCAAACCACGTGGATCTATTAACATATCTTCCCTCAGAATGTCCAGTTGTAATTCAGCAGATGAACTAACAACTGTTCTGGGTCACATCTGAGATCTGAGGATGTACACAGTTACTCTGGTTGAATTTGGGTGATGTCCAAGTTTCCTGCGGACCACGTTTACAATGTCATGTCTTAGGAAGGGCTACTCTGGAAAGTACTGTTTATTACTCACAGATTGTTTTTAGTCTCTGCCAGCGGCCTTTTCTCACCTTTTTCCAATTTTTATTTATTCAACACATTCTTTTAGAATATCTATGACGTGCCAAGCACTGTGTGAAGCGTTGGGATACACGTCTTAGTAAGATCTGGTTCTGGAGATGAAGTGTGAGGAATAGAGACATTTCACTAAAATAAAAATGTGATCAGTGCTAAGACAGAATTATATCTAACATTTTTATGTCATTCTCTGAATCATAGTATCTTCTTGAGATACTGTTAGGGGAAAGTCCAATTTCCTAGTAGCATGTTTCCAGGAAGAAACTTCCACTCCCAGGAGAGAAATGAATTAGGACAGGAACATTTTTGCCTTTTTGAGCCACTGAACCGACAAGACAAGTGCCAGATCTGGGTGTGAAGTTTGTACACAGGTTTAGCTTTCTTTTCTTCCTCCTTGTTGGAACAGGCCTAAAATTGTCCGGTTTCTACAGGGAGAAAAGTTTAATATGATGAAAGCAGTGGTGGTGGAAGGAGTAGTTGGAGGCCTTATTCTGACAAAAGGTTAAAGCACATCCTCTAATTCACCTTCAGCAGTCATGAAACTTTGTTTTGTATTCATTCTTCTGATCCTCCTGTTGGTCATTCTTTTCTGCAGTTAACGTGTGCATTGTTCTCTACGTGTCAGGTTGTGTTTGTTTTTCATGTTAGTCAAATATCCTACATCCTTGCTAATTTTGTATCTGCTTATTTGATCAGAACTTGAGCGAGGGATGCATGAATGTCTGCCAAACGACTGTGACTTTGTTTATTTCTCTTTTTAGTCCTATTAGTACTTGCTTTATATACTTTAAAGCTATGTTATTAGATGTAAATTTAGATTTGGTACATTTTCTCATAGGTTGATCCTTTTGTTATAAAAAAAA